TCGTACAGACCATAGCGTACATCAAGCTTCCGATAGCTAAGGCGTAAGGTACCTGAACCATACTCTCTTTCTCTTCTTCTGACTGAGGAGACTGATCCTTCGATAGACGAAAATGGCTGGCCAAGGGTGTGCTCACAGGCTTGGCGTCGCCCATGTTGAATCTCTGCAAAACACGGTTGATGTACTCCGTCTGAGACAACCGCAAGAACCCTTTCTTCTTGTCTCTCGTGATTTGCATTCCAAGGATCTTTTTTGCTGGACCCAAGTCCTTCATGTCAAACTCCTTTGACAGCTGCTTCTTCAAACTCCTGATATCCTTCATATTTGCTCCTGCAACCAATATATCATCAACATACAGCAGTAGGATGATATAGCTGGACTGATATCTTTTGAAGTAGCAACAGTGGTCGGCGTTGCACTTCTGGAAACCTTCCTTATGCATAAAGCCATCAAACTTTCTGTACCACTGTCTTGGGCTTGTTTCAGGCCATACAAGCTCTTCTTGATTCTGCACACCAGGTTCTTCTTCTTTTCTTCTGAGAAACCTTCTGGCTGGTGCATGTATATCTCCTCTTCTAGATCTCCGTGAAGAAACGTCGTCTTCACGTCTAACTGCTCGAGATGAAGATCTTCAATTGCTACAATACTCATCACTGTCCTGATAGTATTTAGCTTCACCACGGGAGCGAAAATATCGGTGTAGTCAATTCCTTCCTTCTGTTGTAAACCTTTGACAACCAGTCGGGCTTTATATCTTCTGGAACCATCATGCTCCTCTTTCACCCGGTACACTCATTTGTTGTGGAGTGCCTTCTTACCCGTGGGCAACTCAGTTAGTTCCCACGTCTGGTTTGATATGAGAGACTTTATCTCATCTTTCATTGCAAGCTCCCACTTGCTCGCATCTCCACACGGACAAGCTTCATCAAAGCTTTCAGGCTCCCCACCATCTGTCAGCAACAGATAGTTCATATATCTCCTGTTGGGTACAGGAGGACGAGAAGATCTTCTTAACATCGGAGCTGGTGCGTCGGGCTCCTGCGCACCATCTTGTCCAACAGGCTCTTCTTGCTGAGGACCCTCTGCATTGGGTTCTTCCGAGAGGTTACTCGGGACATCATCTGCATCTACAAATATTGACTCGCTCTCTGAGTCATCTGTCTTGTGCATGTCCTTGTACATCACCTTCTCGTTGAATATCACATCTCTGCTACGGATCACTTTCTTGTTTTCGTTGTCCCAAATGCGGTAGCCGAACTCATCTTCACCATAGCCGATGAAAGTGCATTTCTTTGACTTGGGATCAAGCTTATTCCTGCCTTGATCACTAATATGCACGTAAGCTACACAACCGAAAACTTTAAGATGTGAGAGTTTTACCTCCTTTCCGCACCATACCTCCTCTGGTATTCTGTGCTCCAATGGAACCGATGGACCTCGGTTGATCAAGTAAGCTGCTGTGTTGACTGCTTCTGCCCAGAACTGCTTCGGTAGGCCTGACTGTACCCGAATGCTTCTGGCTCTCTCTGTCAACGTTCGATTCATCCGCTCAGCTACACCATTTTACTGAGGCGTAACGGGCACGGTTCTCTCTATTCTGATCTCGTGCTCATAGCAGAACTTCTTGAATCCGGTGTCTTCATATTTACCGTCATTGTCGGTCCTGAGCTTCTTTATTCTCAGACCAGTCTCATTCTCGACCATAGCTTTCCATCTCCTGAAAGCTTCAAATACTTCTGACTTATGCTTCAGAAAGTAGACCCACACTTTCCGAGAGTGATCATCGATAAAAGTCACGAAGTAGTGTTTTCCACCAATGGACGCGGTGGTTGTTGGTTCCCACACATCTGAGTGAACGAGCTCTAGCTTCTCTTTCCTGGGGGTTCTGCCACTTGTCTGAAAGCTGACTCTCCTCTGCTTTCCGAGTATGCATTCTTCACACATATCCATCTCCACTGACTGCAGTCCTGGGAGTTTTCCCTTCTCATATGACCGAGTCTCTGGTGCCACAGCTTTAAAACTTCATTGCATGCTGCAACTGAGATCAAACAACGTGCACCTGCTGTCATATATAGGGTACTAGTCTTTCTGCCTCGGGCAATCGTCATTGCGCCATTTGAGATCTTCCAATCATCTCCATGGAAGGTCGTGGTATATCCTTCGCCAGCGAACTGGCCTACGGATATTAAATTCTTTCTCAGATCGGGAATATGTCTGACATTCTTCAGCTCCCATACTGACCCGTTCAACTTAATTTTTACCACGTCTTTGCCCACAATAGCACATGGTTGATCATCACCAAGATATACGTATCCAAGATTTCCGGGAACATACTTCTTGAAGAATTCTTTCTGAGAGGTAGCATGGAACGACGCTCCTGAATCTAACACCCAAGATTCCTCCTTGCTCTCCAAAGAGCATATCAATGCGTCGTCTCCTCCTGAGGTGGAGGTGACATTCACCTCTGCCTTCGCCTCCTTCTCCTTCTGTGCACTCTTGCACTGATTCTTGTAATGCCCGGTCTTTCCACAATTCCAACACTCGATAGCCTTCGAGCTGTTGCTTGGATTCCTTGATTTGGACCTCCTGTCCTTTGATCTACCTCTGAAGTTTGATTTTCCTCGTCCGTTTCCTCTGGTTGAATTTCTACCTCTTGACTTTATATGTAATACTGAAGAGGTTGTAGCTTCACCCGACTCTCTCCGTCGGATCTCCTCACTGAGAACCAAATCACGAACATCGTCGAACTTCAACTTTTTCTTTCCCGATGAGCTACTCACTGTCGTGACTGTAGTGTTCCAACTCTCTGGTAGGGAAGACAAAAGTATCAACGCACGAACTTCCTCATCAAACTCAATCTCAACTGAACTCAATTGGGTTGTAACCGTATTAAGTTCATTGAGGTGTTGTGCTACTGACGCGCCTTCGGCCATTTTCAAATTGAATAACCACCGCATCAAATGAACTTTGTTCGCGGCTGATGGCTTCTCATACATGTTTGAGAGTGCTGCCATAAGACCCGCCGTTGTCTTCTCCTTCGCTATGTTGAACGCAACATTGCGAGTCAACGTTAATCTGATAACTCCGAGGGCTTGTCTATCTAGAAGGTTCCACTCATCTGCCTTCATAGAATCCGGCTTCTTCCCCAATAGTGGTTGATACAGATTTTTCTGATACAGATTTTTCTGATACAGATAATCCTCTATCTGTATTTTTCAGAATCCGAAATCTGTTCCATCAAATTTCTCAAGTCTCGTTTTTCCTTCATCTGCGGCCATGGCTCCCACTTGAATCTGACTTCCTCTAGATCGTTTCACGCTCTGATACCAGTTGTTGGAAATTTGACGCCTAAATCCCTAATGCAACAGAAACGCAGAATAGAAAAAGTACACCAAGATTTACGAGGTTCGGCAACTACCTACGTCCTCGGGAGCCACACAGTCAATTTCTTATTAATCAAACAAGAAATTACAATTTAGGAGCAGATCTTAAAACTGAGATTTCTCAAATGAACACTGTAGCTACAGTGTTAATAATCAAATGGAATAAACCCTTTCAATTCTCACTTGAGAATAAAGAAAGTCCCACAGTAAAACCCCTCTTTGATTCTCTCTCTCTCTTCTTAAATCTCCCCTCAGAAATCACAATTCCAAGCGCTGGAGAAATAAATGAACACTGCTGCGTTTTCTTTGTCCGCCGCCAAAGAAGAAAATCGAAGGGGGAAAAAAGCAGCAAAACCCTAGGGCATCAGGTTGCTTTTATAGGCGAGATGGATGGGCTGGCGACAGCCTGTCGCCAGCGGCCCGCGGACGCGATGGTGGGAGAGTCGAGACGCGAGCGTCGAGCTTGGACGCGAGGGTCGGGATTTTCAGCCGCGAAGGTCCCGCTTAGACGCCAAGGTCGGAATCCCCAAACGCGAGGGTCGGGGCGCTGGCACGCGGAGCTCGAGCTTCACCTGAAGCTTTCACCGTCGACTTCCACGCTCATCTGCGCGGTTCCTCAAGCTCGCCGGAGCTTCGTCGCCAACAGGAGGTTGGTATCCACCCTCTAAACTAACACCTACGAAACTCCGTTAACTAACTTCTCTTGCCAGTTCGATCTGTAGACCAATATGTCAAGACTCCATCTCGCTTCCTTCTTTTTCGAGGCGGCCAACCAGCGGTCGAGGAGGAGGAGGGCGCCCTTCGCTGGTCGTGAGATTCGGGAGGCGGAGCTCCAACTCTAGTCTCGACACGATTGCCGAGGACGAGGCAGCGGAGTCCGCAACAGCGGCGTCTATGACCTCAACTCCGTCAAGGTTTTTCCCGCCATCAGCAGAGAGCGTGTATAGAAGCGCTAGGCCTTGCTCGAACGTTTGAATTTTGTGTTAGTACAGAGATATCAGTTCCGGCTTTTTTTCTTGGACAATTTTGTAGTTTACATCATTGCAGGGAATATTGCTTAGAAGTCTAATTGATTAATAACGGGTTATTTATAGATTGAGACCACAAATTTTTCTGCATTTAGGGGGTGTTTGGCAAAATCGAAGGGTATAGAAAGCGTGAAAACCACCATTATTTACAAGTATGAAAATTATACCTAAATGAACGTGCAAATGAAATACGGTGCTGCTGCTTCAAAAAACAAAATCACTACTGAAGCTGGAAAAAAGTTGACTAGCAATATTACTCTCTTCATCTACGTAAAATCATACTATATTTTATAATGATTTTCAACGAAAAAAAGACCCTTAACTCTCCATAATAATATTTATTTTATTATGTTGGCGTGGTATGTATTTATTGACCGCTCCCCTCCCTCCTCGCAGCATGATTTCAGACACAAGGCGACCAATTAAATTCACAAGATTTGTTGTGAACTATAACAATGACCAAACGGAATAACGAGCGAGGACTTAGGTCAAGAGCATCGATGGGATTACGTGCTATGAGCAGATATAATGGGAAAAATATTAAGAAACCTGCCTATGACTCGAGGACTTGATTTAGGATAAGAATTACTTAATCAAAAAAGAATCACCAAGTTGCACAGGCTATATAATAGATTATTGTCGCACTACATACTCTTAAGCTCCAAGTAAACTGAAAACTAATGCTCAAGGATAAAATCTAGTATCATAACATGATACTAACAATCTAAAAAACAACAAAAATAGAAAAAGAGTAATTAAAAGCACAAAAATTTGCATCTGAGATGTGATAATACACTCAGCATTGCAACAGCCTCAAGCAAGCATCTAAAACACCCTCTAATCATCACCAAAAGTGGTCTTCTTGCCTGCAAAATGTTCAAAATCCCTATTAGAACCAACAGATCATTAAGAAAGTAGAAACTACTTAGAGATTTGCAGGCATATGCATTAAACGATTCGGAAAAAAGCGGAAAAAAGCGTCCACATAGGACACTCTAAAGAAACCACATAAGGCCCTCCAACGAATATTGACTTCTCCCCTCAAAATGTTCAACCCTTTTCGAACCAAATAATGATAAAGGAAAAAGGTGAAACTGATTAGAATTTGCAGGCATATGGCTTAAGCAATTGGGAAGACTCGTGATTATCAAAGAGGAAGGAGATGGTGACAACTAACATATCAAGTGCAATCGTATGTCTAGCATTGAACTCCGTGACTACTACTGCATAAGTCCTATCAATGTAGTTGCAAATGTATTGATAGGCAACTGTCATTTAACTAACAACCTACAGTGTTATGTGCATCAAGAATTGTAGCGTGAGCAGTCTCTCCTTCCTATGTGAACTTTGGAGAGGGTGACACGTGGCATACAAGTGCAGGCATTGCCAACGTAATCATGAGTCTACCAGTGAAGGCATATGTCTATTAGTGCAATCACTACTCATTTAGCCACTTTTGTACTTGGGACAATAGTCACCCACAAACATATAATACCATTATGTGAAACAAGAATTGTGATATATTAGTAGCCGTCCTCTCCTTCCCTTCCTTCACGAGGCCCTCTACAGTGATTTTTTCCCAATAATGTGACGCGGTGAATTATACTTCAAAAGTAATTTTCAAAAAGTAAAATACTAACCGGTGCTTGCAGCAGAGTAACTTTGTCTATTAGGTGTTCCGCGGCCACCCCTGCCACCACCTCCTCTACCCCGACCACCCCTACCACCTCCATCACGTCCACCACGACGTCCTCCAAATCTCCCACCACGACCACCGCTATCTCCTCTACCACCACTCCTACCACCGCTCCAGCCACCACCATCACGGCTTTCTCCCCTTGGCTTTGCCTCATCCACGGTCAAAGTGTAGCCTCCTAGGTCAGATCCATTGAGCTCCAAAGCTTGGGAGATGGCATCCTGATCCTTGAAATCAATGTATGCCATACTGCAGCGAAGGATTGAACAATTTTTTTTCGAATCAGAAACTACAGATGGTTAAAAAAATCTCTAATGGGTAAATTTCACACAAAACACACGGAGTTTGGCCCATTTTTAAAAAACCCCCAAAAATATGGAAACACCCCAAAAGGTTAGGGTTGACTGGCATCTCTAAGCATATTGGGGGTCATCTCATAGTGGGCCAAAACTTTTTGGGGGTTTTGTGAAATTTACCCATTTCTTTTAGTGAAGGTTAATCTTTTATCAGATTAAGTATTTTGAGTATTGTACTGACCCCTTGGGGGCACCAGTTTCAAAATCCGGAGGAATAGAAAGACGAGAAATCTGCCCACACGAACCAAAATGTTCCTGGAGAGCACTCCGAACCTGGAGTTTGAGAACATTATGAGATGAAGCAAAAGAAAATGAGATTAGAAAGTGAGCATTAAAAGGAAAGAGAAATTTTACCCCATCCTCTCCAAGGGATTTATCAAACCCTTTAACAAAAATGGTTTGGCTCTGACCTTGTCCACCCTTCTTGAAAGTACTCCTGATTACCCAGCAAAGCAGGTCAGCAGAAAAAACAGAATATAAGAATAGTATTTCATGAGCTTGATCATGGGTGAAGCTGATAGAGTTTAGGATAAAATTAGCTCAATTAAACATGCATTTATATGAGCTTAATACCAATATAACGTACTGATAAAGAAATGCATATAAGAAGCCTGTAAAATAAAGATCAATAAAGACATACCCACTCTGTGGAGTGTATGTGCCCCTCTCACGAGCCAAATCAAGCTTCACTGCACGCCCCAATAGGTCCTGACCATTCATTTTCAAAGCCTAAAAGAGAGAAGAGGTAAGAACAGGTAATATCAAAGCGTGACACAAAGCAAGAAGTAAAGGTACAAAAGAGAAAAGTGCAGCATGATTATATGTTTCTATAGATAACTGAAATAAAAGAAAGGCTAAAAAATAGTACAGGAAGATAGAAGTGCAGCACGATTAACTGTTTCTATAGATAACTGAAGTTAAATAGGTATGAAGTACAAAAGATAGAATTGTGGCTTGATCAAGTGTTTGTATAGAGTAAAAAGGGGGAAAAAAACATTTAACAAGAACAATTATTTAAAATATATCACCTTTTGGGCATCTGCTTCAGTCGCAAATTCAACATGTCCAAATCCCCTGAAGCTACCATCCTCAGATGTAGCCAATCTAACACTAACAACTTCTCCTGCTTGACCAAAGAACTCCTCGCTGAAGGACAGATGAGAGCATATATATGAAGCTTAAAGGCATATCACCAACTTATAAAGCAAAACATATGCGCATTTTGGATAAAATCAAACATACATATCACCACGTTCGGCGTTGAATGATAAGTTTCCAACAAACAATGTCTTCGATCCAGAAGCCTGGTTCTGAGGAGTTTTGGGCTACATTCCAGAAATATCAACTGTTAAACACACATCTTTAATTCTGAGATACCATATGCATAATTAATGACAATATTACCTCCTTTTTCTCAAAGCCAGATGATGGTGCATCTTTCATCTTTACATCGGAATCCTGCATGACCAATGAATTACAGTACGAGAAAAAGAAACAAAGATAGTTTGTGAAAATTGAGGTTAGCTAACGCTAGAATAGAATTATTGGAAATCACAAAACTTCAAGATATAAAACAGCATTAACACGTTACACGTTAACACCAACGGTGGAATAGAGGGTTATCAATTAAACTGAAGATGAGGTAATAAATGTACCAATGAGGCAATGTCTGATGTCTGATCAGGTTCAGTATATATACATAACAAAGACCACCAAGTCCAACCAATAAATTTCACGAACTCCAACTATGCTATTAAAAGAATGTACTTGAAAACATAAAATGAGAGTTTGGCAGTGAAATAGAAAACATAAAGGAGGAGTCCAAATTTAATGGAGTTTATCTAGTCTAGGAATAACAACAAGATAATTAAAGGAAAAAGAGGGAAAAGGGAAATTTAAGTCAAATATTGGCCTGACGAGTAAATCAAAAGATGTACTTATCTCAAACTATCATTTTAACTGTGGATAAAACAAAGCATTGAAGTTGAGGGGAAAAAGAAGTATTAGCTAGTGAAGTCCGAAAAAAAAAGAAGAGAAGGAATAGAAGAACGAGAAAGAAGAAAAAGTGTGCACAACAAGGGAAACAAAGATAATAAATAGGCAAAATTGAAAAGGAAGATTGGTTAACTACATTGACCTCAAATCAAATTTTAACATATAAATGGGAAAATAAAATCAGCTTACTTGTTCAACATAAACCATAAGCACTTGTCACACATAAATTCAATGCAGCGTGTCAAGCAGACATTTCCTAGTACTACCATTTTAAAATTCTAGGACAAACAAAGGGCACGTAGAAGTTTTCATTTGTGTCCATATTCAGAAGCTCTCCGGATGAACACTGCATCTTTCCAACCACTCACCTCCTCCTCTCTCTACAAATTTCATACAGAAAAAAATCCCCGCCAATCATAAAAAAGATTGATTCTAAGTTGATACACACAATAGAATGCTCTCAAAATACAATCAGATTATAGCCTAAGTAGTTAATAGAGATCCAATGTTTAAGTTATTCCTCTAGTTGGCAAAAATTTCTATAGGAAATGATTTTTACTTTATGTAGTTTGATATTATCAGGATTTATGGGTAAACAATAAATCTCATGTAATGAAGTAGATGTTGAATAACACCTCTACCTTTTTTGGCGTCTTTGCTGGCTTTTCATCTTCAGATTCCTCTGACGAATCCTCAGAATCTTCAGAGCCATCTTCTTCATCACTGCTGCTGTCCTTGTTCGACTTCACAACATTTCAAAGGTACAGGTGTTTAATGAACAAGCATTAGTATATCTTTAAGAAAACAAAAGTGTTCCATCTTCTAAATAAAATCTATATGTACCTGAACTTTCACCTTCTTCTTTTGTGGCTCTTCTTCACTCTCATCAGAACTCTCTTGTACCTTTGGCTTTGGAGTAGCCTTAGTCTGAATGTTGGGCAATGAAAAAGCAAGTAAGATAACCACAAACAACCCAGCATACGAAATGGTCAAAGAAAACGAGTAAGCTCACTGCTATATTCTTTTGTGCCTTTGGAGGTTCATCATCTGAGCTATCATCCTCATCTTCATCACTGCTGCTCTCTTTCTTGACAGCTTTTGCAACAGGCTTGCCCGCACCAGTGGAAGCAGGAGCCTAGAAGATAATACCAAGGACAATAAGTAGAAACTCAAAAACCTCAAGCTTCAAATGACTAACTAATTGTACAGGTATTTTCCTGAATTTACAATAGGGGTTTTTCCATATATATGCCCCTCAAATCTTCAATATTTGCTAAATTAACCCTCAAATTATTGGTATTTGCAAAACTACCCCTCAAAACTAGAAAATTGGGCCTTACCCCTCCAACTTAAGAATGTTGGTCTTTAAACAAGGAAATGCCGACTTTTCCTATGATTTCCAATAGATATGAGACAATTTTTGGTTTAAAAATTAAAACTAAAATTGTCAAAGTGAAAGGGATAGTAAAAATCAATGTGAGAGAAGTGGCGAGTAATTCTGCAAATATGGAAGAATAAATGAAACAACTCAATGAAACCAATTAACTCATCATGTTGAACATATTAACATGAATGCAACTTAGCAGGTATATGTCAGCCTAGAGAATCACAGATTACATGTCTACCTGATAGATGCTCATCATAAAAGTTGGAAAAAAAACCTTGTGAATCATTACTATATACCAGCCTCCTAGTTTCTCCACATATGTGCTCGTGTCCTCCTACTTCACTTTTTTTTTATTCTTGTTGCTGTGAATTTATGATATTTATCTATTTTGCAATAAATAAAACTTTAATCAAGACAAATGTGTTGGATTTGCCACTAATAAGCGACCAAAGAAAAAGTATGACGTTACTGGGTACGATTCCCATTCAAATTTGATTACAATGATGAAGTAGGTGGGACTATTGTGGTTTTTATCATGACTATACTATGGAAGGATGAGCCAATAATCATCCTTTAATGAGGATCCAAAAACATCTCAACATTGCTATGAATCAAAATGATCTCAACACGAATGTCCTTTACTTTTTGGACTTTAAAACAATTTTCATACTCTTAACAGATGGGAATCCTAAACTCTGAAACTGCATGATTTCCTTAGGATGACACAAAATCATGGTTTCCCAATAAAGACATCTTAAAGATTAGCAATACAATATGAGACTTGCCTTTTTCTTATCAGCGTCTGAATCAGATTCACTTTCTGAATTATCACTGGATTCGCTCTCACTCGATTCTTCTTTCTTTTTCAAACCGTTGGTTGCCTTTGCTGATGGTAAAGGTTTAGCAGCTCCAACCTGCATGATCATGGAGTATTAATGATCAAAACTACCTGGGTAACATAATATACAATTTTTGAACATTTTTTGCTACAAATAAACAGTTCCGCATTGCCTTGCTTAAATATATGAATCAAGAACAAACCAGAATATGGAAACCAGGCATCACTTATCCTCTTGGTTAACCACTTTCACTGCCTTGAAAAGAATACCCCTAAAACCCCAATTGCTTACAGTGACCAAATCTAGTATTGTACTTGGATCGGGTCTCTTACATAAATAATTGGGTTTGTAAAAAACTAGCATGTACCTAAAAGGTTATGATAGAGGTAAAGAAAACAGTGGAAAAGAGAGATGAAGACATGCCAAAAAAGTAGAGTTACCCAGTTATCCAATATTTCATTTGATTGCTTTTCATACCACATGTTTTTTCTCTTCTTTTTTTTGGCTCGCGAGGTGGGGTGAGGGGGGAGGGTTGCAATGAATTCAACTGTCCTGTACCGCACTAAAGGTGAAGCGCCATGAGTTGGGGTTCCAGCGCCAAATAATTCCAATCACGAAGTAAATCGATTTTCATTTAGAGACAACCAACCTTGACATAACTTATACTACAAAATATGAACTGGCAAGGAGTATTGTCGTTTCAATCAGCTACATACTGTGGATAGATGAACCAAAAACCACCGTTAATAATGAGTTTCCCAAAATATTCCAACATTGTCTTTTTCGGGGGGGAAAGACAGTTTTATGCAGTGCGGTGTCGGAATCAAAATGATCTTAAAAACAAGTTATTTAATTATCATAAGTAAAAACAGGGGCAAAACTATAACATCCACTCAAAGCCAATCATTTTAACCTTAAATGAGCTTCCCATAATTATTTCAACATTATTTTAAAATTGTGATGCATTATATGATCAAAACTATGTCCACAATAATGTGAATAATTTTGGGACTAAAAACAATTGTTATGTCAACAACATGCTTAATTATCTCAACAAAAAGGCACCTAATTATATGAAAAAGTCCAAGGACAGTCGACACTTGCTCAAAAACAAAGGGTGGCAGTTGGGTTTAGTTTTGCATTAGGGTTAAATTGGGGTAAAGTTTGGTTTATAGAACACGTGGCGACCAGAGGAAGCGAGTGACAGCGACGTGTGTAGCTAGAACTCCTCATGCTCAAAAGCTATCACTTAAACCATTAATTTTAAAATTGTGATGCATCGTATGATAAAATTGCTTCAACAAGAAGGCGCTTAAGAAGCAACAATTTCAGCTTTTACCCACCTCAAAACAAAAGGTCAAAACAAAATCATATCTACACATTGGAACTGAGTAATCTTTTTAGATGGAACACATAATCATGGTTTTCAAAATAAAGATATCAATATATTGTTCAACTTGTCAAAGTTTAAAATGTATGCATGACACTCACCTTTTTCTTGCCAGAGTCTGAATCAGATTCACTTTCTGAGCTATCACTTGATTCACTCTCGCTGGCTTCTTTCTTTTTTAAACCATTGTTTGGAACCACTTTTGAGGCAGTCACAGTGGCCTTTGCTTTTGGTACAGGTTTGGCAACCTACATGATCATTGAGCATTAGGTGACAAATATTATATAACATCAGATATAATATGCTAATAATCGCTTCTAACTTAAAAAGGTCAATGAAAAAATAAACTATAGCACCATCGAAGAAAAACATAAAACGGCAAACTTGCATCATCTTCTGAATCACTATCAGAATTCCACTTGATTCAAGTTTTTCCTTATATCTTGTTGTATAAGTAATTCTTGTTCTAAGAAATAGCTAAGGAAAGGGAAAGAAAAAGAGATAACTCATGGGAAACATCTAAAACAGAATACTGAGGATTACAAAGTGATGAATTCATCAACTTGACTTCCCAAATAAATAATGTAGGACTCTGATTCCTAATCAAAAACAACACTTCTCTATAAGCAAAAAAAGAAATATGCATCAACTTGGTTAAACAAATTATACTCCATTTTCACATTGAATAAAATACAAGAACTTCAAAGAACAAAGATCCCCTTTTCCTCTTACCTTGTCATCCTCAGAACTGTCACTCTCAGACTCAGAAGACTCGTCACTAGAGTCAGACTTCTTCAATGCTGCAGCAGGTACCTTCTTGGAAACCGCTGGTTTCTGTATGCCAGTAGAAACTGAAGATTAAAACCCTTAAAAGTGTATACACTTGACAGACTCCAGTAACCACATTCTAAAAAGCAAAAAATTTAACATCATACAAAACGCGAACTATCAGTGCCAATAAGGACTGAAGTTTCAAAGGCCTCACAAGTCTGGAGCCATAGAGAAAAAAAATATACAGTACATAAACCTACTACCATTGTTTTCATTGTCATTGTATCTCTTAATCCGACCTTCTTTTTAAACATTGTGCTTTCTTTTTCGAACTGATCTTTCGCACAAATAAAAGAAACCAATATCTCTCTATAAAACGGGGACGTTGTGATTCTGGGGAGTCTCAAGAGAACCAAATCTTTCTTCTTCAGTATCACTCTGGACATAGCTCTCACTTGATATGGACTTCCTTGGAGAGGTTTCTTTGTAGTGACAGCATCGTACAAGTACCAAATAAGGTGGCATGAAATGAAAACCAAGAATACTATAGTCGAGATCATATGAGAGGTGGACCTTAACTTATTACAACTTATTAAGTTGATTTATTTAGTTTAAAAAGTACTAAATTGTCAATCATTAACTTAATCAAAGCAAAATAACCATCTTGATCAACTGCCTGCAGCAACATTTTCTATTATCACAACCACTGAAACGCCTCATCCCACTACCTTACCCTGATTCTTTCCACTCACATTCTATCATCCTCGAGTCCAGTGAATCCTCTCTCTTCTCTCTTCTCTCTCTCTCTTCCTCCCATCCAACCTTGTACGAGAGCTATGAAAAAGATGAGTCGAACGTCTATGAAATTCATCTCGACTCAAACTTTGGCTTACACTAGGATTACTTAAACTTCAACACATGAAACTTTTTGAAATAACAAATAGAAAAGTAGAGGCAATAGATTTTTCTTATGTTGCAATTTGAAATTTACCTAACATATAAGAAAATGAACCACAAAAGACATTCGCTGAACTAAAACTTCAACCAATTTCCAGCCATGTTTACCCAGTGAGGCAACAATATGTAAACTAATGCAATTAGCTACCTCATCCTCAGACGAAGAATCTTCTTCTTCTGAAGAACTGGACTCTTCTTTCTTTGGTGGAGGGACCTTCTTCTTAACCTCTACTTCCTTCTTCTGCTTCTTGGCGCTCGCCAATTTCTCCAAAGCGTCCCCTGCATCCCTCTTAGCCCCTGTTACAATAAAGAAATCATCTTTTTATAAGTAAAAAATTAAATAAACAGTTATCACTAATACCAACTAACCATAAGCAACTAAGGAACAAAATCATACCCTTTTTAGATGCCTTCACATCTGTGACAGGAGTAGCCACAGCAACCTACAAAATTTGCAACAAATCCAAAATCATTAACAAAATCCAAAAATATGAAGAAAAAGCCAACAAATTGAACATAAATATTAAGATATTATACATATTATCACTACCTTAGTATCAGATTTCTTGCTGGACTTGCCCATGTTGAAAAAGCTGCTGCAATAATGAGATTTAAGTATCAAAGGACAGAAAAAAGACAAAACCAAAACAATCTTCGCCAAAAACTAAACTTTTCACATTCCATTGACGAGCAAGTGGTTATGCTTCGATTAAATCATCACAAATACATGAAACTTGTTACAGAAAAGAATCTATTCAGCAACCTAGCTAGGGTTTCATAGCAAGGAAATACGATGCGATTTACCTTTGCAAATGAGAGAGAGGCGAAGTGGAGACGCTAGAACCCTAGAAAAATTAGGGTTTTAGAACGATTTTTCGAAGCGACGGGCTTTATAGGTAATGAGAACCGAAGGGTATTTTGGTCAGTTCGGACGGGGGAGCGGCGTCCTCGTGATGACTTTCGACCTAGTTTGTAGTTGGGCCGGGCTTCACTTAATATGCAACTTTGGGCGGCTGGGTCCAGAATGCTTTCAAGGTGGGCCATGGCGGCAGATATTTGCGCGAGTGGGGTTATTTCAAGATAAGTCCCTCACATTTTATAATGTTGAGTTTTGTCCCTTAAATCATTGAAATTGCTTTTAGGCCATCTGAATCATATAAGATGTTTGAAGTTGGTTCATGTTTGCAAAGGTTTAAGGAAATGAGATTAAGGATAAGAGTTAACTTAGTAAGAATATATGTTAACCTGTAGGGTTAAAGTTAAACAATTAAGTAAGATTTTTTTTATCATTTTTAGTGTTTTGTGCTAAAAAGAATTAGGTTCAATTGCTAAAAGACCCCCTGTAAGTATAACCCCAATTCGAAGAGACACTTGTTTTATTTATTGTGAATAGGCCCCATGTAGTTCTACTCGTTGTGTGGCCTAAGTTTGAATGCACCGCCTTTGTCAACTTTTTCGACTCTTTTAAAAGTAATAAAAATCGCAATTAGGTGTTTATCATCACCAATAGAACTGCATGGTGCCTATCAGCCTATTCAAACATTTTTTAATGATGTAAGGGTTAAAAAATTCGCTCGGGGTGTCTATACACAGCAAATAGAATTACATAGGGTCTATTTGCAATTAGGTAAAAAAATAGGGGTCTAGTTATAATTAATCCTAAAGATTATGTGTGCTCTCTTTATAAATAGAAAAGTTATCCCTTAAACCACCTAAAAAGAGGTATTGGTAAACACTTCACTTCTTGTTGCATTTTATTTATTTATTTTTTGCTAGATATATTATGGAGGATTGACTCATTTTATTCTTTTTGTAAATCTTTATTGTTCGGCAGATTAATTCTCTGCTTAACTCGTTTCCAAATCACACCTAAGAGGGTTTTTTTTAAACACCAAGATACCTCAAAAGTTTAGGGGTTACACAAGATAACAAAAAAGGTTTGGAGGGGTTTATGCTAAGTATTCTTCTTATAGCTAGATCAAGAAGCGTTTGAGGTGGTCGAAGATCAAGAAGTGAGTTATTTATACCAAGCATTCTTCTTATAGCTAGATGCAATCTTCAGGTTCCTGCAGAAAAGTAGAAAGTTCACATTCTGCCTTTCAACAAAAGATGATTAGGGAAATCCTATTAGTTGTTGATTTCTCCGGACCTTCAGGAAAAGCGTGGGAAAAAAAACTCAAATGGTACAATCCCTCCATCACCCAGAGTGAAAGGGTGATCTGGTAGTTCTTATTCAGTGAAATACGTTGCTAGGTGCGCCATTTTCCATTGAGGGGGGTGGTGGGAGGAATTTATGGGGGATTTATGGGGGTTCTGTGAAATTGACCCCCTGCGACATTGCCATCCTGTAGGCAAAGTTTAGAAGCCTTTTTGGGCCCTATCAATGGGATATCCTTTTCAGCCCCTCGTTTAGAAATTGATAATAGGGCCTTCCTCTGTCCTGGGTCGGCCCAAAGAATTACGCCTGATGAGGTTGAAGATAGATTTTAATCACAAATGGCTTAGAAGTACTTCAATCAACCACGAAACTTTCTCTCTCTTCGCTTATTGTATCAGAGGATAAAATTCTATTATGAACATTCATAAGAACTTCAAAGTTGAGTATAAGTAGAAGAGTTTTGATGTGATGTCAGAGTATTTTGGATTCAAGTCATACAAGAAACTTATTTGAAAAGCAAATTTAAAAATTAATACTACTAAACAAATCGTACATATTTGATACATGAGACATATGCGCAATTTATAAAATCTTAACCATCAATTCTCTCTGAAATCTTTAAAACTCTAGTTTGGAAAAAAATTTGACACTAATGTCTAGTCATTGAATTGCATCTTAATGCATGCAATAAATAGATTTTGAAAATTTCATATTCAAAATCATGTTTGTTTGTAATGGATATTAAAGATACTTTGCGTTGGGTATAAAAAATGCAACCAAAATTTATTCGGTTAGACATGAACTTTATTAGGGGATATGTGACAGAAAAAACAACTCTGATTGAAAGCAACATGTTTTTAAGGGTGCATCATCCTAAGTGACAAGCACAAGTCCATAGCATGAAATGTACCGACTAATAGTGCATTTGATTAAAAAAAACTAAGACATTAGGCTTGTCTATTTCATTTCCAATGCAAAAGTCACCAAACGCATAAAAACAAATTTGTTTATCATCTCATTTTATTTATTTTATTTTTAAAATTTTTAATTTATTATTATTGTTTTAGTTGCATGAAAAATCCTATAACTGTACTGCGATCTTATGGTGATGGTCCTTATGGAATATAAAGAAATCCACAAATTCAGCAAGGCAAAAACATGGGACAAGGAGATAAGCGTAGACATTTGTCATTCTCGACGTTTTATATAAACACATGTGATCAACTCATTGCTAAGGGGTTGTTTGATTCGTTTCTTAGATATAGGGAATTGCATTTCTATGTATAAAAACACAAGTTTTGAATTTTCCAAATTTTTCCAAGAAATAGATTGTTTCGCTTTGTTTCGCAAAAAAAAAATGGTGGGAAACTAATGTATTTATTTTTCTTGTGTTTGGTTCGCATGGAAAAAAAGGAAAAACTTTTGTTTATATGGCAAAAAGCCAACGTGGTTGCAGTTTTCGTCGATTTCACGAGGTTGAGGAAGGAATTGGGGGAGAGAAAAAAATCTAATGTGGCAATGATTTTCACCGAGTTTCCCTTCTTCAACCCTAGCGGACCAAAGATGGGGAAAAAACTGACGAGAAACTTATATCCTACGTGGCCACGAAAAATCTGATGTGGAGGCGGTGTAAAACTTTTCCATCGAGTTAAAAAACGAACCAAACAGCCCCTAAATATACAACAAGCTTAAGAAAATCAGGATTTAAAAAAAAATTCAAAGAACACAGGGATGATGGCAATCTAGGGTCATGAGGTGTATCTTTACTTTTTGTAGTTGTGAACACTTAACTATATTCAGAATGTTCATCCGGGGGCGTTATTTACTACGTCATGAAACTATATAAACAAACATGAATTACTAGTCTAAGGATAATGTTTTCTTTTGCTTAGGAGCCATAATTGACATTAGTTTATCAGCTTTGTAGGCTTATTCTCGCCATGGCTTCAAATTACTATAATTTAAATTAATATCCTTCAACGACATGAATCACTGAGATAAACTACTTAACAACAATAGACCACATAACTAACTGTCAGCTTTCTCCATAATTAAAAGGGAAAAATGCTTCTAGCCCCCCAAAACCCAAAAAAAACGTGCCCCCCCCCCAAAGATTTTGTCAACGGGTGTTTTGCCCCCCAAAATAAAGATTTTGTTCTCTGAGCCCCAAAACATAAAACCCAAGAGATAAAAATATGTGAAGACCATAATACTCTCTCTCTCTCTCTCTCTCTCTCTCTCTCTCTCTCTCTCTCTCTCTCTCTCTCTCATGATGTTACTGATAATTGAAATGATTGATGAACATTGTTATTTTATTATTTTCGTTTTTTATTATTTTCGTTGTTGATGAGAGGAACTAGCTGTTTTGTTTGTATTAGGAGATTGTTATGGTTACGGGTTTAATTTTAATTGTTAAGTTTGGGAGTTTGGACAAGAGCTTAGGGGTTCAAACCCCTAAAACCATAATATTTTTAGAATATTTGTTGTTAAGGATAATGGTTGGTTATAAAGGTTATGCATTGGTTGTGAAGGTTACGGGTTGGTTGTTAAGGTTACGGATTTGTTGTTAAGGTTATGAGTTTGTTGTTAAGGATATGCGTTGGTTGTGAATGTTACGTTTTGGTTGTGAAGTTAACCTACACAACAAACACGTAATCTTAACAATTAAACCCATAACCTTAATAATTAAACCTGTAACCTTAATAATCTCTCAATACAAACAAAAACAATTAGTTTCTCATCAACAATAAAAATAATAAAAAATAAAAATAATAAAATAACAATTCTCATCAATCATTTTAACTATCATCACAGTAACATCATGATAAAGAGAAAGAGAGAGAGAGACAGAGAGAGAGAGGATCCATAACCTTAACAATTGACCTGTAATCTTAACAATTAAATTCGTAACCTTAACAATTAAACTCGTAACCTTAGCAATCTCCCAATACAAACAAAAACAATTAGTTTCCCCGTCAACAACTAAAATAATAAAAAACAAAAATAACAAAATAATAATCCTCATCAATCATTTTAACTATCATTACAGTAACATCATGATATAGAGAGAGAGAAGGGATCCATAACATTAACAATTGACTCGTAACCTTAACAATTAAACACGTAACCTTAACAATCTCCCAATACAAACAAAAACAATTAGTTTTCCCATTAATAACTAAAATAATAAAAATAAAATAAAAAAACAATCCTCATTAATCATTTCAACTATCATCACAGTAACATCATGATAGATAGAGAGAGAGAGAAGGGATTCATAACCTTAACAATTGACCCGTAACCTTAACAAGTAAACCCCTAACCTTAATAATCTCCCAATACAAATAAAAACAATGAAAATAATAAAATAACAATGCCCATCAATCATTTTAACTATCAGTAACATCATCATAAAGAGAGAGAGAGAGAGAGAGAATGGTATTATGGTCTTCACATATTTTAATCTCTTGGGTTTTGTGTTTTGGGGGCTCAGAGAACAAAATCTTTATTTTGGGGGGTAAACCACCCATTGACAAAGTCTTGGGGGGCACGCTTTCTTGGATTTTGGGGGCTGGAAGCATTTTCCCCTAATTAAAATTATAGAGTCTCCGGACCCCTAAAGAAATAAACCCGAACAGAAAAAAGAACATAATTGAGCATACGATTATTATTGTTATTATGGATAAGAAAGTAGAATGTATTAGTTAATGAAATCATGTCTTACAATCTCAGCCAATAGTAACAGC